CACACCGCCAGTGGGGAGAACAGACTAATGCGTTATAAACCTTACGGTCGTGAGATGGTGTCGTTGTGGAGTAGTGGGGTAGCGAGTGATGCAGGTAAGGTGGTTGGCCTAGGCTGGCAGCAGGCAGGACGATCTTCTCGGCTCCAGGAGTAAGGCAGCAAAAAGGAGTGTGGTATTCACGGCTCCAGGGGTCACCAATTGTAGCGTACTGTATGTGGCCAGTTGTCAATTCTCTTAGTATGGCCACACAAACGTACGTACATGTAGATATCTCGCACTCAGGAATGAGGTAGGATAGAAACTCACAATGCGCTTTCTGTATATATATTGTTGTACAGCGCAGTGCTTAGGAGTGACTAAGTGAGGAGAAACTTGCTCAGAGGTCCTGTAGGGCGAGGAGGTTTCTGAGGAAGCCGAGATGTTGCTGGTCCAGTAGCTGAGTGTAGAATGGTCTCCCCTGGCCAGGCATGGCCGATGATACAATTTACAGGATCAGGATTGGGTGAGCGACGAGAGGGCCAATCATAGCGGCTAAGCTTAAGGTGTGAAACGCTTCTGATCCTGAACCGGAGCGAAAGTCGAGACTAGTACGATCGTACCCTCTACGTCCTCTGCATAGACCTAGTCTCGGCGTAGCTGGGGCTCAACTGGCGTGGGTAACTGTGCCAGTCAAGCCCTACTGCAGACCGAAACGCTACAAATGCCAGCACTACGGACATCACTGTCAACAAGTGAGGCGCAGGAGGACACCTGCTCCTGTGCGGCAGCAGCCCCAGACACCGCCACACTCTGCCCCAACACAGTTAAAAAATGCGCTGCTCGGACGGCCCACATTCCTCCGCCGATCGACCTGCCCGAAAATGGAAGGAGGAATGTAGGATAACATAAGAACATAAGAATAGCCTATTGGCCCATACTGGGGCAGTCCATTTACCGCTAACCCCTATTAACATATAACATCAGCCTATGTTTGAAGCTATTCAAGCAGCCGAGTTAACCAGGCTGATGTTGGTAACTGTTCCACATTCATCCACTTCTCTGTTTCCAAAACCGGTGTTTACCGATTTCTGCACCTAAATCTAAATTTGCTAATTTAAAAACCATTATTCTGAGAGTTAGCTCCTGGTTGGATAGTTTGGTACTGCTGTAATGTCCCCTTTGTTTATTTCCACTTATCACACCTCTATCCCAGATTCTTCCCTCGCTCTCACGTCTCTCTCAAGGAGTGCAAATTAAGATCTTTAGCCTGTCTCTATACTAAGGTTCTAATGCCGGGATTAGTCTTGTCATTCTCCCCTCTGAATTCTTTCCAAGGATTCTATATCCATTCTGTAATACCCCGGTGACCAAGAACTGAACTTCATCGTCCAATTATTGGTCTCACAAAGCAGGCTACAGTTTTAGGATGACACCAAGCTAGTCTTGCTTGCTCCTGCTAGCATGAACGTAGCATGGCGCGTCTAAGGCAGCATTGTTTACTTGGTTTTAAGGTTCTCCATATCATTACTCTAAATCTCTCTCTTGATCGGACTTACTCTATGGCATCGTTGTTCATCTGGTGTATCTGGTTTTTCCCTGTTTATCTCCTATACTGAGTACTTTACATTTGTCGGCGTTGAATTTCATCTGCCATTTTTTAGAACATTCGAAAATTTGTTTCAGATCTTCCTGTGGTTTTTGCTTTCGAGGTCCTCGTCAGATTTAATAACGATCCTATTTTAGTGTCATCAGCAAATTTACTTATGTTGCTGTCTGTAGGCTATCTCTATATAGATTTATGTATATAATAAATAATAATGGTCCAAATTGCCCAGGCCTTGGGGGAACTCCCGCGGCGTTGCTCAATGGGACCCAGGTGCATTATTAACCTTTCAGCTGTTTCCTGACTGTTGTCTGTAACCACGCCCTAATCCATTTAAGGATGTCACCTTTGATGCCATGTGCTTCTACCTTTCTAATTAGTCTTTCGTGGGGGACTCTGTCGAAGGCTTTGCTAAAGTCGAGATATACCACATCATAATTGTGCCCCTCGTCCACAGATTCGAAAACTGATGAAAAGAATGTTAATAGATTAGTTAGGCAAGAACGTCCGCTTGTGAAGCCATGCTGGGAATCATTGATCAATCGGTGCTTCTCCAGGTGATTTCGAATAGAGTTTGAGATGATTGCTTCCAGTAATTTGCCTACTATTGATGTTAGACTGATTGGGCGGTAGTTAGAGGATAGTGATCTATCCCCCTTCTTGAAAATCGGTATTACATTCGCTATCCTCCAGGATTCTGGTACTACACCTGTTTTTAAGGACATGTTAAACAACTTTGCTAAGGGCATACTAAGCTCTTCCTTACATTCCTTTAATACTCTGGCAAATATCTCATCGGGACCAGGTGACTTATTAGGCTTTAGTTTGTCTATTTGCTTACTAACATCGTTACTAGTCACTACTATCTCACTTAATTTGTTTTCTTCACTATCTCTGAATAGAGTCGGTGCCTCGGGTATCATGTTTAAATTTTCGGTGGTGAAAACTGTTGAAAAATATTTATTCAAATTATTGCTCATTTCTCTGTCGTTATCAGTGAGCTCGCCGGTGTCTGACCGTATTGGTCCAATCTTTTCTCGTGTTTTAGTTTGATACATTTGGTAGAATCCTTTGGGGTTTGTCTTCGCCTCCCTTGCTATCCTTACCTCATTATTCCTCTTTGCTTTCCTTATCTCGGTTTTAACCCTACTCGCCAAAACACTATAATAGTCCTGGAGGTGAATTTCGCCACGATTTATCCTTCTACCTATAGCCTTCCTTTGGCCAATGATGTTCCTTAAATAATTATTAATCCATTTAGGGTCATTGTTGTCTGATCTGAGTTTTTTGTATGGTATGTTCTGCCTTTGTGCATTAAGTAACTCACTATTTAAATTGTCGTGGAACTCGGCAATCTCAGATCTCGTTATCAGGTCCGTGTCATCTGACAGGTTCACGGCCAAGCACGACACCCCCTCTCTCAGCTGCCTCTTTAAACTGTCAAAGTTCGCCCTTCTGAAATCTGGTACTTTAGTGGAATTTTCCTTACGTCTGCCCTGAAAATCTAACTGGAATCTAATTTCTTTGTGATCGCTGTTTGCAAATTCGTTCCCTACCTCGACCCTGCTAATGAGGTTTTCTCTGTTTGACAGAACTAAATCGAGTATATTATTACCCCATGTGGGTTCAGCTATATGTTGACTTAGAAAACAGTCCTGGATAGTCTCGAGAAAATCCTCTGATTCTGAGTTACCTGTAAGGTCAGTCCAATCTATTTGGCCAAGGTTAAAGTCGCCTACTATACAGACTTTGTTGTGTATGGAAGCCCTGCGCATTTCATCCCAGATAAGTCGCTCATTGACTCTATCAAGATTGGGAGGTCTATATATTACTCCTGTGATTAATTTTTCTCTACCGTCGATTAATTCTATCCAAATTGTTTCTGTATTCCGCTCAGTTTTTATTTCCTTATTTATTTCGCACTTCAGATTATCCCTAACTTAGATTGCTACTCCATCTCCTTTCCTGGTCTGCCTATCGGTATGGAACAGTTTGTAACCCGCAATTTGGTATTCGACTCGACAAGAAACTGAGCTACAAAGAGGCCCTCCTTGCTGTACGCTCCCAAGACAAGAAAAAATCAGCAGAAAAGCAAAACCAAGAAAAGAAAACCCAAGAAAAGAAAACTCAAGAAAAGACACCCGCCACACAGAATCAAGAACACCACGAGGCCCGTGGAGCTGAAGCCCACGTGGTCAACCTCACCGTCTCCGACTTCCACACCTATGAGGACTTAAGACACGAGGAAGACGAACAACAAGACCCAAACACGAATGAATGGACACTTCAAGAGAGCAAGAAGAGGAGGAAAGTTAGAAGAAAATCTACATCAAGCTAAGAAGAATACCAAGACAGAAGACCAAGACACTTCCTCCACACAAGAAAACAACACACACAATCAAGCCGACCAAGCACCGAGAATCCATGGCCCAACCCAACACGCACCTGACGCTTGACCTGACGCTAGCCTGACTCTGTCCTGCCGCCTCCTGGCCGCGTCCGGGCGAGTTGCTGCTGCCTCCAACTTATACTCCCTCACGCAAGCGGTGTTTAGCCACTGCACCTATTCTCTTCTCCTAAAATTCACTTCAATCCTCCCTTTATTCTTCCCCTGAACCTCCTTCCCCCCTTTCACTAGCATTTCATGTTCATGTTCATGCTGTACGCTGATTGGCTGTTAGGCGCGCGGCCGGAGCTCAGTTGGGAGTTGTAGGGGAGAGGAGCCACTACAAACTCTTGGAACAATCTGCCTGAGTGTTGTGACGGCACCGAGTGTGAGCTCTTTCAAGACCAAACTTGACAAGCACTGGAGCAAGTTCAGATACATTCAGGCGCCAGTGCATGCCCAGTACTTGCCAACAGTGCGTAACAGAAACGTGACCGATCGCCCAAGCTGCTAACGAGCCGATCAGTGGTGAAGAGGATAAAAGTAGGAAAAAAATATGCATTCATGCTCCATGCGTTAATTTCCAGAAAATTGCAGGGGCAAATTTTTCGGTGTAAGAATCGTAAACTCTTGGAAAAATCTGCCTGAGAGTCTTGTGACGGCACCGAGTGTGAGCTCTTTCAACACCAGACTTGACTAGCCCAGCACTGGAGCAGGTACAGATACATTCAGAAGCCAGTACATGCCCAGTACGTTACAGAGACGTGACCGACCACCCAAGCTGCTGTCTAGCTTACCAGTGTTCAGAGGCGATTCTGGCGAAGAGGATAAAAGTAAAAGTAAAACACATACACGGACACACATTTATTTTGATGATGAATGCATTAAGTATGCCTGGTAATTTTTTTTTTTTTTACTTTTTATTATCTCAAAACTTAAGAACATTTACGGACACGATGAGCTATATCTGACCGTGTTGGCGGTGCTGGTCGTCATCATTTTAAGAGTTAAAAACATCATGGCCATGACGTCACTTAGTGTTCAAACGCGGCTGTGCACTCGACTGACGAGAATCCGTCTGGCACGAGAATTACCACAAATTTGAAGGATATAAGCGAACCGATCATGGATTCTGATGCAAAAAACGGCGAGGTAGAAATCTTCCAGACCTTTGAATTATCCGACGGTGCTCGTTCTGTCACTATTCTGGCGTCGAAAGAAGAAGAAGAGAGGATAAGTCAAGGTAAAGTGTTGGGTAAACAGTAGCCACAACTCTGCCATATCTTGTATATCATATGATTAAATGGCCAGTTGAGATTTTTAGAGGTATTCTGTTATATTACTTCAGTGTTTTTATACATAAAGTTCACATATAGACTGAACTGAAGAGACAGCGCAGTTAATATATAGTGTAAACTTGAAAAGTACGTCGTTGGTCGATGAAGCAGCCATGACGTTCGTCGTCTTTCTGGTTTTTATAAACAATCAAATTCATAAACAATATTACCCAAGTGTACAGTACCTGTTTGGTGTTATGAAGGTGAACAATGTTCATTGACTTCTTAGTCTAACACAGGTGAAAAGGAACTTGTTACTGTAAATCATGTCAGGGTTAATAATTAGAGGCTGCCAACACCTACTTATATATTGAATCATAAATAGAGAAAACAAAAATATTCGATAACGTTTCCGCCTTTAATTTATATTTTTGTATTATTGCAGTTTCGGCAAATACACGGACGACCGTTTTAACCTTCCCCAACCTTTAGATCTCCTCATTTGGAGTATGTCTAACCCCATTTCAACCAGGGGCAAAGAATCATAACTTCGGAAATGAATTTTAAAATTTTTCTACCGATTTGGAGGTTAGGTCAGGTGGTAAATTTTTACTTTAGGACACGAGTCCCTAGGGGTTGACCAATATGTTTTTCCAGTGTATTTTGGTGTGTTTCAAACGACTCTGACCTTCATGATGGGTGGAAATTGCTTGGTTTTTGCCCCATCAATAATGGGGGAGAGCCTAGGAAACCAGGGTTTTGGGTGGGGGAAAACACGAAAACGAGTCGTCTGACCTAACCTAACCCCTAGCTGGGGGCTCTGCCCCCGGACCCCCAGTAGGCTTAGCTTAAACTAACCTATCCTATCCTATTCATTTCCAACTAATATAAACAGGGTTCAAAAGGTTCATTTTAATGGGATCTAAATGCTAAAGTAGTTTTAAACTGTGGGGTGCGCCATGTCCAAAAGTATAATATGTGTACCTTAGTTAGAAGTGGAAGGACCAGGGATAGGTTTAGGGTCAACCTCTGATGTTTGTTCTTTCTAAATTTACAAGACAATTTACAGTGCAGGCACTCAACAAACATAGGGAGAACACCATGATTACGTAGGAATTGGATAGCTTGATTGTCTCTCGTAAAACTCCTCAATAAACTTAAAAGAATCGTAGGAGCACGATTCACACCCAACCTCTACCACAGCCATTGTCACACTGGTCATTGAAATTGAAATCCTTCAAATCTGTACCTTGGCTCCTCCCTTTGGAAAAAAAAAATTTGATTGAAAAAAAATTGAGTGGTGAGATCGATACATCATTGGTCATGACTGGAAGACGTCACGCTTGCGTGATGTAAACACCCTCATAATTAGCTCGCTTTCATGACGATAACATCTCCTCACACACGAAAACTGAAAAGTATGTAAAATCAATTAAATTCAATTGTGTCGCTATTATTCATTTCTGCTTGGTATATATGGGGTTCAAAATGCTCAGAATAGGGAGACCTAAATGTTTCGGTAGTTTATAACTTTGGGGCGCGCAATGTCCGAAAGTAAAATAATACCGCTTTGGTTTGGTTAGTTTAAATTTAGGTTAAGTTAGGTTTTGTTACCTTTGGGTGGGGGGGATACACAGTCGACTGTTTTAATCATCCCCAACGTTTAGATCTCCTTATTTGGAGTATTTCTAGCCCCCATTTCAACCAGGGGGCAAAGTATAATAATGTCAAAAATTAATTTTAAAGTTTTTCTAAACCTTTTTTGGGGAATAACTCTAAAAAACGGGAACTTCCCCCGGTAATAAAGGTCAAATTCGATTAAATCACACCAAAATACACAGGGTAAACTAATTTCTAACTACTTGGGCATATTGGCCAAAACTGCAATTTTACCAATACAATTTAAGAAACAGAGCACTTTCTTTGGTCTCTTCTGTGGAGCTGAATTTCCATTCTTTCTTTTGATATTTCGAAGAGCTAAGTTTTGTCAAATATAATTTTTTTTTTTTTTTTGTCACCATTCACGTAATTTTTATTTTCTTTGCGTGTATTTAGAAATTATAGCCATAATTATGTTCCATCGGAGGAACATTTCTAATGAGGAAATACAGTCTATTCTAGACCACGATTTTGATGATGAATTCATGGATGATGATAGTGATGATGCAAAATCAGATAGTGGTGGTGATGACACTGATAGGCGATGAATCACAATTTGAGATTACTGTATTACAGAGGAACCAGATGATATTCTGTCAGGTGCAGAAATTGATGGTCATGATGAAAGTGCTCCAGTTGGATGGTTGAGCAATTATCCAGTTAGTAGAGAACGATTTCCATTTATTGAAGCTCAAAGTAGTTTTGCAAGATCCTCAGAACCCAATAGAGATTTTTCTGTCTTTTGTAGACTGAGATATAATAGAACATGTAGTGAGAGAGACAAACAAATATGCTGCCAAGGTCTGTGAAGAAAAGAGAAGGAGCGGTAAAATGAGGAGAAAAGTAGAGATCTGATGTGGAAGGAAAATAATGTTGGGGAAATGTATACCTTTTTAGGGTTGGTCATTATACAAGGCATAGTAAAGAAGCCAACTATATACTCATATTACCCCATGAACCAGATGCTTGCAACACCCTTTTGCGGGAAATGCATTAGCAGGGACAAATTTGCACTTATTTTGAGGTATTTGCATCTAACTAAAAAAAAAATGGTGATTACCCTGCTTACAAGTTCATGGAGGTGCTAGATAACTTTAGGCAGAAATGTATATCTAGTTACATCCCCAATGAAAATATTAGTATTGATGAGTCCCTACTTCTCTGGAAAGGAAGACTAAAATGGAAAAGGTATATTCCTATAAAGAGAGCAGGGTTTGGCATAGAGACCTACATCTTAGCAGAAGCTGAGACAGGGTATGTATGGGACCTTTTATTATACTGTATACAGGGAAAGGCACAGAATATGCTTGCCAAATACCTTGGTTGTCAGATCAAACCATAGCCAAGCTGTCCAAACCAAGTAAGATTGTTCTTGCACTAATAAAGCCTCTACTGAATAAGGGTTATGTGCTTGGAATGGATAACTTCTATGTTTCACCCGAGCTGTATGACATCCTCTTAGCTAATGGAACTGACGCCGTAGGCACAGTAAGATTTAACAGGAAGGGGCTTTCTGAAGATGTAAAAGAAAAGAAACTAAAAAAAGGAGAGACAATCACCAAGTTCAATAATAAAGTGATGCATATGAAATGGAGAGACAAGAAATATGTAAACATGCTCAGCACAGTCTATGACAACTCCATGGAAATGGTACAATCTGGTGGGAAAGAGGTAAGCAAGCCAACTGTGTGCATCAAGTACAAAAAACTGCATATGGGGTGGGTAGACCTAATGGATCAGGTAACATCTGCTTTAAGTGTCATACGCTAGGGTGTTACAAAGTACTACAAGAAGCAATTTTTTCGGGCTGATAGAAATGAATTTGCAGAACTGCCATGTAATCTACAAGAGAAATGGAGGCCAGAAAAACCTCCTTGACTTCAAGTTCCTCTTGATTGAACAGATTGTGTCTGCATATAGCAAAGATGTTTATTGGAGAAAAAACCCACAAGCTCAGTGACTTGGGCCATGCCCTACAAGATTGAGTGGAAGACATTTCCCAATAGACAGAGTCATCTGAAGGTGGTAGTACAAAGAAAGTTCAAAGGAGTTTACTGACTGTGCAATGCAAAAGAAAGTGAGGAGAAGTATGTGATGTTTGTCAAGTTGCACTGTGTATTACTCCATGTTTTAGCTTTACCACATATCAGAATGCCTTTCAACATAGGAGAGTGATAGCAGTGAATGAACAAATGCCATAAGAAGCAACAGTAAGGGAGGGTGGGAGAGAAACCACATCCAGGTCACAAGTCCTGGACACAGCTTTGGCTGTGGGCGTGAGTGACTCCACGTACCCTACTTATACTGTACGAATATAAATAATAGCCACTTACAAAATTCTCGTTTTAATACTAAAAGCATCTTTGCTATGTTAATGAAATATAGCAACTGTTCCCTATTGCGGTAGAGTCTACATATAGATGGTGTTAAAATTTCACAAAATGCTGTGTAACATTATTTGTTCCACTCCAGCGGTTGCCGTCATCTATATACACTAATGACGATTTTTAAATTTGGCGCTTCTTCAGTCACTGCTGCCGCCGGCTAAGGGTTAATTTAGTGAAAGTTAGGGATGTAGATGTTTGGTTTCTGATGTATTTGGATATATTTTGTTCAGATCTCTCCTTTGGTTTTAACCCTTAACCCTGGGATTGTGTGCAGCTGGCAGTACCCCCCACCCGGGGTTAAATGGAGAAAAGTCAACTTTTCCAAATATAATTTTTAACCTTTTTAAATGATAAAACAATAAAAAAATAAGTAAGAAAAATTCTATATTGGCTGCTCAGAGGGGGGGGGGGAGATAAGGAGACAGTGTTGGTTTGACAGCTGACGCTCGTGGTCCTTACGCACTTAGCAGCTATTTTTAGGTCGCCTTTGTGTCCGAGGTGGCCAATAATACATATATTTACTGATCTTAATAATCATTTGCTATAAATAATTCATTTAGAATATTTTATTTGCATATTTTTTTATAAAAAGGTGCTTGGCAACAATCACTAGTCTGTCGCCAGTCTGCCTGTCTGTCTTTGTGTTTGGTAGAGCAAGTAATGCATAAAATAATAATAATTCCACAAATAAATACATTTATAACATAATCATTGCATTATTTTACAGTAATACTGCACTACAATATAACTACACTACTTTTAGCAATATTACTTTGATGCAACATGATAAAATAGACAAACAATGAAAATGAAACAAACAAAAGTAGGTAATTATGTTCAGGAAGCTTCCCTGTGGCTGAGCGTGTGGCGTGACGGGCAAATAGTCACACTTGTTAGATGTTCTGGGTAATAAGTTCTAT